GGGGGGGGGGTCCCTCAGCCAGGCCTGCATCCTCTCCAATCCGGGACCCCTTGGGGGATGTCTGACTGCTGGTTTAGGCCTGATCCAGGGATCGGGCCTAAACCGGCAGTCAGACATCCCTATCGCAATCTGGGACCACTGGCTCCTAACCGCTCACCTGCCTGCCTGATTGCCCCTAACCCTTCTGCCTGCCTGCCTGATCGCCCCTAACCCCTCTGCCTGCTGGCTTGATCACCCCTAACCTCTCTGCCTGCTGGCCTGATTGGCCCTAACAGCCCTTCCCTGCCAGCCTGATCATCCCTAACTGCCCTCCCCTGCTGGCCTAATCTCCCCTAACTGCTCTCCCCTGCCAGTCTGATCGCCCCTAACCGCCTCTGCCTCGGCCCCCGCCTGCCACTGTGGCTTCATCCAGAAGGAGGACCAGATGACTGGAAGATGCCTGGTCGACCCTGTCTAATTAGCATATTACCCTTTCATTAGTATAGATGACTTGATTCTTATTTATCAAGTGCATCCTAAAATTAATAAAACATTGTCACTGCCCTTAAATACTCTTATACTGTATGGGGGCAGGTAGGCATGTAATTAGGTAAGACAAATAATGACCTCTTCTTGGAAAGGACCTGATAAGCCATTATACACAAAGGTGGTAATGACTGGTACGTAATAGCATAAGCTATTAACATCGCCCAGGGATGTCTGCAAATAGGGGATCATGCCTTCAAACACTGACTTTCGTGGAATTTCAAGAATTTGCATTTTCACTACCATCTGCCGTGGTCCATTTATTAATGTAGGGTGAATAACTGGGAACATCCAAGCTCTCTTAGCAGGGATTCTATACAAAAAGGAATTATTTTAAAAGTGGCACAAAGCTTCCCTGCCCCACCCCAAATTTACCCCTGCTGACTCTGCTGATAGTCCCAATTAAAATTCTTTATAATGAGACTTTTTTCATAAATGCATAAAGTAGAGCAATATATCATTTTATGGTACCATCTAGTTACAGATCTACTGGAAACAACTCAGTACAATTTGTCCTCAAGCCAGTTTAAATGACTAATCCTGGCACTATGCCATATATCCCCCAACACCGGAAGGATGGTGGGTAGCAAGCCTACCGCAGAACTATAACCTAAGTAAGCTCAGCCTTTAATAGGTGTAATATTAAACCACAACAATCATGACTTCATACTTTAGTACATGCTGCAATAAGATCAGACTCAGCCCTAGAGCAGGAATTCGTTTCTACTCCCAGCTCTGTTAATCATCTAGCCTCGTGGCCTTGGACAAGTCACAAAGCTCTCTGGGCCTTGCTGTCCTCATCTAGAAAAGAGAAGACCACTCGATTCAATGAATCCAAGGTTCTATCTACCTCTAACCTTGATTAGTAGCTAACATTTACTGAGTACTCAGAAGGAACAAAAATCCTTTCTGGACTCTATCTGGCACTCATCACCTAAGCTTTGTTCTCATGTATTTCCAAATTGTAGCTTGTTTTATATAGATTTCAATGAACTTAACAACTTACCAAATAAATTGTCAGAAAGAGAAAATTCATCCGCAGCAGGTAAGTGGGAGTGTTGGATGAGATTCATTTTTGATCCAATCCAAACTTTTCTACTTGAGAATGCACCTTTGTTATTGTGGTCTTCAAAAAAACACCCTGAAATGCAAATAAATAAATAGAGAGTTTGCGGAAGAGGGAAGGAGATGGTTAAGAGAGAGAGGGAGGGAGAGTTCATGCTAATTTACAAAACAGTAATTGGCTCCCTTTTGACATTTTGCCAAGGCCTTTCTTTATGTATTTGTTCTCAATATTTATCATTTTTACACCTAAGTTGGATTTATAAGTGTAGAGATACTCTCCAATTTACCTAGGAAAACACCATATGTTTTCACTTAAATTTCAACACTTGGGAGATTTGGGCAAAGCATGATGACATTTTGGCTTATAAGTGTAGAGATACTCTCCAATTTACCTGGGAAAACACCATATGTTTTCACTTAAATTTTCACTTGGGAGATTTGGGCAAAGCATGATGACATTTTGGTTTTTGGGTTTTTTTTTTCTTTTTTTTTTCTTTTACATACAAAAAAACACACACACAAATATAAAAACCTTGATTTAAAATGGGATGTATCCATGATTTATTATCTTAAATTTTATTCTAAAGTTGAACCTGTCTTTGCACAAACACAAAAGTACTTTAAGACCCCTTTCTACTGGAATATTCTTAAGTTGAGTAGGCACTATGGAAGCAAATCAAAAATTTAGAAAGGATTCCCCCAAGATCTTTATCTTTGCCTTTTTAGAGAAAATTTAAGGGATTTGCATTTTCACTCTCATGATCTACCTTGGCCATATATTATGTGGGATAAAAAAAAAGTTATGATAAGCAGAAAAGTCATGGTAAATCTCACCAAAATGTCTGAAGTTTCATCCTGGGGAGAGGTCCAGAACTCATCCCAGAACCCAAGAGAAGCAGTGTTCACTTTTAGTTTTATCTCCAGGTCTTCTTTCCTTCCTTCCTTCCTTCCTTCCTTTCTTCCAAACTCATCCCAGAACCCAAGAGAAGCAGCGTTCACTTTTAATTTTATCTCCAGGTCTTCTTTCCTTCCTTCCTCCCTTTCTTCCTTCCAATATGTCTTCTACCTCCCTGAAGAAGAAATGTGAAAGGTCAAATAATGAAACGGTGTGCTATCAGAACCTCTTTTCCAAGGCTATTTTCTGAGGGCGATTTTCAAACCTTTTTATCCTGTCTCCACAAAATAATCGCTTTGTTTATAAATAATAACTATTTATATTTTCTACTCTGGAAGAGAACCTAAGGTTTTTTTAGAATAATATTTATTTCATTAGAACTTTCCTATTATTCATATTTCTTTCTCTCTCACTCAGCAAAATAGTCCCGTTCAAGCAGAAGTGGGTAGCAGATGCATGTGGCTGCTGGTAAGACAGTCCACCAGACAATGTTTGCTGTATTTATTCATTTATTCATGTTTTCAAAATACATTTTTGGGGGACTTATTCTGCACTAAATTCTGTGCTGAATCTTTGGAAATAAAATGATGAAAGGAACACAAGCATCCATGATCTATGACATCAAACTTAATGAATAGAGAGATTAAAAAATAATCCCACAAATATACAGATAATTGCATATTGTATTCAAAGCTGATGATGAAGGCAAAGATTAGTATGCTCTAATAGAGAGGTAGGTGTGAAAAGGAGTCCAGATGGGGAAGCAGTTGAGGGAGGATGTGATTTCAAGGATAGTTTTTATTTTTTCCAATTATAGTTTACAATCAACATTATTTTGTATTAGTTTCAGCTGTATAGCAAAGTGACATATACTTAAACAATCATATACTTTACAAATTATTTCCCCTGATATTTCTATTACCCACCTGGCATCATACATAGTTATTACAATATTATTGACTATATTCCTTATGCTGTACTTTACATCCCCATAACTATTTTGTCAGGTACCAATCTGTACTTCTCAATTCCTTCACCTTTCTTACCAAGTTCCCCAACACCCCTCCTCTCTGGCTACCATCAGTCTATTCTCTGTATCTATGAATTTGATTCTGTTTTGTTTGTTCATTCACGTTGAAGAACCCGTATTTTTAATGACAACATTAAACCACCTAATTAATCAATTGTAAGATCTACTCTACTTGCAGACATTCCATTATGATAGGCAATACTAGGGCACATCTGAATTGATGAAAAGACACCAGAGAGGTTGAAGAATTTAGTAAGAGACAGACAGACAGACAGACACACACACACACACACACACACACACACACACACACACACCACACACACACTGTGAAAGGATACAGACTGTATCTACTGTGGGAATGCAGACATATCTGGGTCCATCTGGTGAACCAATGGCATGGTCCTACCAAAGTCTACTTTCCAGTAAGCCAAAGGATTTGTTGGGAGAAAACTCATTCTAAAGTCAGAGGGAGCCAGGAACAAGGACTCTTGCCCCAAAGCAAAGCCACAGTCATTAGGCGAATGTGTAATTTTCAATGTAGCATAGTATTTGACCAACCTGTACTAGATTTAAGAGGTCGTCCTGCCACCCTGGTGTAAAAAGGGAGAAAATTATAAATAAATTGAAGCTTGGAAACATTGAGCTATAAGGTAGACCTTTCTAACAGAACATAATAAGTAGGAGAGAACTCATTTCAACTCCACCCTCACGCTCAAACAACTCTGCCACATATCACAGTGGAACTTTGACCCCAACAGGACTCAGGGCCATTCTGGGGCAATTGTGAAAGAGCAGCTGAGGTATCACCACATGGAGAATGCCCAGCAGAGTTGCTGTGACCACTGGTTGGGTACTGGTCTCTCCAATGAACACAAAAAGTAGTAGAAGATGTGGTCAGAACAGACTTGATTATGAACAAACATAAAGAGACCCCAAGGCCTCCCTGAAATACTTGGGGAGAGGAGGACTCTGGTAGGGAACCAAAGGTCCTGAGGAATAAACCAGTAAAAGTTGAGTTGTTGCTATTAATGGGACCTCATTCACACTCACAAGCTATTTGAGGACTTGGGAAATCCCAGTTTTAATCTGTATATATAAATTGTTATGTATACATTCAATGTGTATACATTATATACATGAATTATGTATAAATATATATATACGCATATTGTATAATAAATGGATTGAAAAGTCCCTCAAAATTCATACAACTGTTGTTCTAGATTGAGTTTCTCTTATTTTTAGGAAATTCCAGTTTTCCATCAAAATTTCCAGGAACCTACAAAGTACAGAGTCAGGAATTTTCCCTAATATTCAATCTAAACTTATACTCTGTAATTTAAGACCCAGTTGCTCTGGTCTTTAAAAAACAGATTTCAGCTCTCTGACTCTTACATTAGGCTTCCCTCCATGCTAACTTTTTCTCATATTTGCCTTTGGAACCTTCAGTCATGTTCATCAAGCTCCCCATACTTCTGTAGCACATCACAGCTCTCTGATTGTTCCCAGGTACCATCATCTTCATTTTGCACCAAAATCTTGTATTTTCCTCCATGCGTTCATATCAACCTGGCACCTTCCATTCAAGTGCCTGGCACACAGTAGGCCCTCAAGAAATGTAGGCTCAATTAAATGATTTGTATTAATTGTTTTTCTTGCTTAGTTCCACCAAATTCCCTGACATTTGGTATGCTGATCCTGAATAAATGGTACAAGATAAGGATTTCATTCTCTTATTGCACAATGGACAGAATTTATCACTCTTACCCAAATGAAAGTCCAGTTCCACTAATTCTGTATCATTTGCGTTATTCCCGCTAACTGGAGACCCACTATGTGGGTGCCCCTGAAGAGCTAACAACAGTGCCCTCAGAATCCAGACAGTTGGCAGAGTCTGCCCAAATCAATACTGTTGGGTTTATGATTCCAGAAGGGGTTTAAAGAAAAGGAACTCTCGAATTTTTAAAATGGCAACACAAGCACATAGTAAGCAATTCAAATAGTACACAGAAAAAATAAGTCTTTTTTCTAGTTCTGTCACTCATTTTCCTTACCAAATACAACTACTATAGTCAGTTTCTTGTGCATCCTCCCAGTTACTATGCCCACTCATAGCATAAAGGGCCCTTAAACACTGTGCCTTAAACTGGGGTTTGGCAAACTATTGCCTGCAGGCCAAAGCTGGGCCTGTTCTTGTACAGCCTTCGAGCTAACAATGGTTTTACATTTTCAATCAGTTTAAAAAATTAAAAGAAGGATATTTCATGACACGTGAAATTCATTTTTAAGTATTCATAAATAAAGTTTTATTGGCATAAAGCAACATCCATTTGTTTATGGATTATCTAGGTTTCTTTCTCCCTACAATGGCAGAGTTAAGTAGTTGCAACAAACACTCCATGGCCCACAGGGCCAAAAACATTTACTCACTAGCCTTTTACAAGAAAATTTTGTTAATCTCTGCCTTAAACAAATCACAGAAGAATTTTTTTAATCTAGTAATATTACAGGTGTACTATGAGTAAATATAATGAATACCCTCATTTTCAACAATCTTGTCTAATTTTCTAGGTGAAAAATCCTATCTCACTGTATTGAATTGCATTTCTTTGATTATTAGTGAAATTGGAAAATTTCTACATCTTTATTGCCTATATGTGGCCATTACTTTCAATTTTCTGTTTATACCCTTTGCCATTTTTTCTATGAAGTGTTCATCTTTTTTTATTGACTTACAACTGCAAACCTATTTTGCCCCACGCTGTATATGAAAAGCTTCCTCATCTGTAAAGATATGTAAGTCGATACAGGGATTCTTTCTTACACACTCTTACACATACATATTTTTAAGACTTTGAAGAGAAAGTAATTTCTTCCCATAAGATATTTGGGGACCCTCCCTGTGTTCAATGAAGGGCTACTGCAAATTTTGAATGACATAATGAAATCTATCTTCAAGAAGATCACGCTAATGAAAAAGTGGGACAGGGAAAGTAAGCAGTAAAGGAAGGAGGAAAATTCAGGAAATCTGTTGCTAACATGAGATGATCGGTGCATACCATGGCAGTATCTGCAGAGATGGGAAGGGAGGGACTTGAGTCCAGTGCACAGAAAGGAGAAAGGAAAGGAAAAAGCCTGGAGATACCAAGGTTAAGCCTTAAGTATTGGTGGAAGGGACAAAATGTTTATTTTACTTTATGTTTATTTGTATGATCTGTAGCCTAAGCCTTCATTTAAGGACCCAGCAGTAATTTCAGAAATGGCATGTGCTGTTTGTTTGGAATGTGATAAGACAGTGAGTGACTGGTAGCTTAGACTCCCACTTTCTGGTTATCACTTTTGACTTGTTTAGACACTGCGTGTCACAGGAAGTTCATGGTGTATAGAGCTCCTCTGATTTATCAGAAACCATTTGCAAATAGAGACCTCGGAGACACCCTGTTCCAATTAAATAGCTTTGCCTTTGACTTAGAAGAATCTCATCTCTCAGAAGATAAAGATGAAAATTGGTTACATGTGCTGTTACCTACGAACTCATCACACCCAAAGGAACCATCCTTGGTGGCATTTTTCTTGGAGGAAACCATTTGTTGATGACAGAGCACACATTCTGTTGAACATCTATGTCATCCATTCCTAAAGGACAGGGGAAAAGTGAGCTTTTTCTAGCCATCAACAGTTCGTGCCCAGGGAAAGCCCTGGATTCAGCCCAAAAGCCAGAAGAATGTTCTTAAGGGGAAAGAAAAAATCATGATCTCTTCAAGCAGCTTAGTGGAAAAGTCAGCTAATGAAAACCCAATTAGAATAGTGTGGCGTTTGAAAGAGGTAGCACAAATCCCTTCAGGAGACCAGCAAGAACAGTTATTCACTGAACCTTCATTCATTCTCTCCTATGTATCAGGCTTCGATGGAGGTCTTGAAAACAGAGTGGTGAATGAGGCAGGGGAAAAAAAAATCCCTGTCTTCATGGGGCTTACATTCTAGTGGGAGAGATACACAATTTGCAAGTAAACATGTAAG